AAGGTAAATTACAGTTGATTATATATAGGATCACACTTTATATCTTTACAAATACGACGTGAATTCATTGATAATTGTAATGATATCAGAAAGTCGCAGTATTAAAGAATTGCCATTCATTGTAACATTTTGCTAAAAACCATTCTTATATCTCCACACTAGGATTCAGTATTAAATATTTATTCAAACATAATTCCAGTTTGGATTTGTTCCCTTGGACTTAATATATGGTACACTTTTGAAATGTTTTGAATATAAAGGCAATAAAAGATGTTCTTAGTCCTGATAATTATCCAAGAAAATTCATTACTGCTCTTAGGGAAACAATGCATAATACAGTTAAAGTAAATAATCATAATGATTATCTAAAATAACATCAATAGGACAATAGTCTAAATACAGAATTTTTAAATGCACCTATATTAGGGTTCTAAAGGAAATTTCTTGATTATGTGACTACTGGTACTCTGAAAGAAAGAAACAGCTTAAATAACCAATTTATAAGTGATCAATAGAACCTTTGGAAAAATTTTCAGTATCATCAATAATAACACAATTCTATTTCTCAACTACCCAAATAGTCATGTTTTTAATCACAGAGACCAAAAAAGTCTAGAGAAAAGTATTTTTGAGACGTCAGACTGCACATTCCAGCTATCTAGAAGATGGTGATACGTGTGTATCGACCATCTTCTTGCTGAAGACCCAAGTTCTACCCTTTATCCTGCTGCATGCTGAGGGACTGACCTTAGCCAAGTACATCAGTGCAATACTCTTTCCTCTAGCCTCGGTCTTGGAAGACCCCAGCAGAGATCAGATCAGCAGGCAGGGGTATAAATTCCTCTCCAAAGACCACAGCTTTTTTCTCCCGAAAGGGAGCAACGTGAGACCAGTCATAACCATGTTACCGGACTCCATGCCAGGCTGTTTCACTCAGGGCACCCAAGAAGGGGGCGGGGGTGGTGAGAGCCCTCTCAGCCTCATGGGACCCAGCCCCGGCAGCCAAAAATCCCCACAACCCAACCTCCACCATGCTCAAGGCTGCTCCCCACATGCTCAGGCCAAGCCTCATGCACAAGTGAAGTCCGACAAAACCCAGGTAATACAGAACTTTATGACCTTGGACTCTGGGTTCATTGGGACCAGGAACAGAGATCCTCTGCCCGATTCCCTATGTCTCTGGTGTCCCAGGGGTCAGTCCCATAAGCCACCTCCTGCCAGCACCAGATAATCTCATCATCGACCACCATCCAGATGGAACAGCTTTTTCTCCCAGAAAAGAGTGACATGACATGTGCTATAGCCATGCCACCAGACTCCATGCCAGGATATTTCACTCAGGGTGCCCCAGAGGGGTCTGGTGAAAGCCCTCCCTGCCCCAAGGGACTCAGCCTCTGCAGCTGAAAACCTCGAAAACCTAACCGCCACCATGCTCAAGCCTGCTCCCCACATGCTCTGGCCAAGCCTCACGCAAGACTGAACGTATTCCTGGACCATGCGGCCGCAAATGTGGCTGCACCATAAGATACTCCTTACCCATTATCCAAGAGTACCACACCACCTTTGATGAGGTTCAAATGGTAGACAACCAATCATAGAAGGAAATATATGTATATATGCATATATACATATTTTCAAATATATATATATATATATATATAAGCTCACATCACTCAACTTTTAACAACATGTTAGTGATATCCTAAAGAATGTTTTAATGGCCCTTGACAAAATAGAGCAATCTTCACTCTGTGGATACCTTTTTGTAGCATTTTCAGTGTTTTTTCATAACAGACAATACAAGATATATTATTCTTGTCTTTGGGACAGGGATTGGGGCTTGGGAGAGAAACATCCCAAATATGGTGGTGGGAAAGTGTAATGGTGGTGGGACTGGTGTTTGAATAATAAATGTAATCAAATATTGTGAGCGATAGTACAGTGGGTAGGGTGTTTGCCATGCATGCGGCCGACCCGGATTCAATTCCTCCATCCCTCTCGGAGAGCCTGGCAAGTTACCGAGAGTATCCCACCTGCACAGCAGAGCTTGTCAAGCTCCTTGTGGTATTCAAAATGCCAAAACCAGTAACAACAAGTCTCACAATGGAGATGTTACTGGTGTCCACTTGAGCAACTTGATGAACAACGGGAGGACAGTGCTACAGTGCTACCTTATAAAAATATATATTTTTAAATAATAAAATAATAGTAATAATAAAAAACAAAGACCACAGCTTCCAGAGTGACCCTCTCTTGAAGCTACAGCTTCTGCTGGTTTCAGAAAACTGCTCCTTTTCCTTGTTCTTTCAAGTGATGTGTGGTAGCAACCTGCTGCTGTTGTGAGCTCTGGAGTGTTTCTACATCTCTTACTGGTTTCCCTAACCCCACCTTATAAAGTATTCCTGCATTAAATAATTTTTAATTATCCTTTGAAGTTGATCACCCATCTCTTGCTAAGAACCTGAAATATGAGGTACCTCTTCAAGTCCACTCAAGACTTTAACCAAATGTGGACATTTTTCTTCTGTTTGGGGTGGGAGGTGTTTTGAGGCCACACCTGGTGATGCTCAGGCACTGTTTCTGCATCTGTGCTCAGGGGTGACCCCTGGTGATACTTGAAGGACCATACATGGTCAGCAATCTGAGCCAGGGTTGGCTGCATGCAAGGTAAGCACTTTAACTCCTGTGCTATCTCTCTACCCCAAATGTGGACATTTTCATCACAATCAACTCCTCTTCTCCTTCTGAAGCAAAGGTCTGTTGGTTTTGCTTCTCCAGAATATATGCAGTCCTTTGCTCATCCAACAGTCAAATTTCCCATTGCAGAGCTTGGAAGGTGACTTCAATCCCAACCCAGGGCTCAACCTAGGATCTAAATCAGTACACTTTGATGGTCTGATCAAGACCGTGGGGAGAACTATGCTGTTAGCAGCATAGTTTTTTCTTTACAAAGCCTTTATTCATCGAAACTAGCAACTAAAAGGAAAACTCAACTGGGTATTTTTACACCTAGAACAAAAACCTGTCTATAAGCCAATAAGTGGACAGGGAGATGAAGAGACAGTTCCAATATTCAAATATGAATCCCTGGGTCTCACCATGCCCCAAGCTAATTCTTGGATCATGTAGTTAACAGAAGCAGTACAGTCCCCACTGCTGCTTAATTTCAGTTGAATTTTCTGTCATTTGCAAAGGAAAGGTTTCTTATTCTAGGTCTTTCCTTAATAAAACCACTTACTTAGGTCTATGACTCTGAAAATACTATCATTTAGCTCTGTTGTTGCTAATTTTACTTGGAATTAGGAAGATCAAGAGAATTTATCTGAGTTTACATCTATTATGAATTGGGTGCTAAGCCCACCTCCATTGACCATTTAGTTTTCTGAAATCTGTGAGAGATGGGAAAACCAAACATCTGTTTGGTGCTTAACATTGGGGTCAAGAACTGTGCATGAATGGGTACAAACTAAAAACACCGGATGTCGTGTTCAAGTCTTATCCTCAAGTGCCACTTGACTGGGCTGTCTCAGATGACAGGATTCATGGGCAGGAAAGCTGCTATTTACACTATCATTATTCCCATTTAATGCCCTTTAGAATATAAGTCTCTGGGAGATGAGAGTTCCTTGAGCCCAGTGTCACTGATCCCTCAAGGTCAGGTCCAAACACCAGTTATCAGGTGTAGGAACAACAGCAAAGGCCTAGTCCTTTGAAATCAAGAGATAGCACCCAAGAGAATCCTGCAGAGTGACTTTCACTATTTTCAATATATTATGGGAAAAGAAATCAGAGTTGGTGTTAGTGTGACCAAGATCTTTTCCACAGAACCATCCTCCTCAAGGAAAGGCAATCATTAACATCTTTACTTACCTTCCCCATTCCTGTCTAGCCTGGAGCCCTACACAAAGAACTGAGAGAAAACAACCCACTTGCTTAAGAATTGAGATATCAGCACAGACCTTCAGCTCAAGACATTTAATTTTTTTAAGACCTATTTGATTTTTTTACTAAATTTTTGGTCAAATATTACAATAGTGTATATATTCATGGTGTTAATGCACAAAGTTCAACACAGTGCCCATGACCCTGCATCCTCATCCCTATGTCATATCCAGTCTGATCTTTCTTTACCCTGTTATTAGTTGATTGACAGCTATGGTTTTGACGCATGCTATTACCTCACTCAATACCACCCATGTGCTATGGACTCTCCACCAATGTTCCTGTGTTACTTCCAGTCAACCTCATGATTCCCTCCATCCTCTCCCCCAACCTAGCATCTCAGGTCTGTAATCCTGTACCCCAGGTTTATTTTCCATCAATATCGTTCATACCATTGATGTGTTTCTCAGTCTAAAACAGATGAGTGAAATCATGCTGTAATCATCCTGAAATCATCTTTGTTTTCCTGTCTCTGGCTCTCTTCACATTTGCTGTCTGACTGCCATTATTTGTAAGTGCATTTGAGTTATTAACAAGCATGTTGATCAAGACATGCACTAACAACAGTGTCTTAGCCTCTGGTGGCAACTGCTCTATTAAGAGTTTGAGGTATTTTTCCAATTCTTCATATGAAGATGAGACTGAATTTCTACTGCTTGTTCATTTTATCCATTCAACAATAATTGTGAGCATTATCTTTGGTCTGTGAGGAAGTGGGAGAAGGAAAGTCCTAGATTAAGGGTGTTGATAAAGGGCTTTAAAAGCCTTGTATAGTACAAAGCAAACCTGTTGGAGATGGACATGAAATCCGAAAAGAAAGAAGAAACGAGTTAACTGGTATCAAATATTGTTGGGGACACCTAGGGAATATGCCTATTTATAGGTCATGAGAATCCACATTTGTTATGAATTAGATGCTATGTATGCCCGACTACAGCATCCCTTTAGTCTTTTGAAATCTGTAAGATATAGAAAAACCTGAAAAACCTACCTGGTACTGAACACTGGGGTTGAGGCCCAAGCAGGAATGGGGGATGACAGCAGAGCATGCTTCTTACCTTTTCTGCAAGCCAGCCAAGATGCCTGATCTCTCGACTCCCAGCAATGCCTGTCTTCCCCAGCTGCTCTCGGACCTCAGCTATCACTCGAGTGAGCAGCTCACTGACGTTGGAGTGGATGGCACTGAACCAGGCCTGGGCAGTGGCTGAGTCTTTGCTCCGTAGGATCAATGTGTGTTTAGCATCTGGAGAGTGGATTTCAAGCTGCCTAGAGAAGCAGAGAGAAGAGTTGGAAGGTTTCCCAGAAGCCCATGCTTCATCTACTCTTGATTCACAAAGAAGCACTGATTCTATCTTTCATAATTGATCAGTTTGGGGTATAAGCACCCAAAAGGAGAGAGAACAAAAGGGAGTTCCCTGCCACAGAATCAGGGTGGGATGCGGGGATGGAGGGTAGGAGGGATACTGGGATTAGTGGTGGAGAATGGGCGCTGGTGGAGGGATGGTTCCTCGATCATTATATAACTGAAACCCAAGCACAAAAATTTGTAAGTCTACAACTGTACCTCATGGTGTTTCACTAATAAAAAATTTAAAAAAAAACTTATATACAGTGATTAGAGAATATGTTTTGCATGCGTCTGACCCAGGTTTGATTCGTGGAATCATAGGGTCTAACAAGCATTGCTGGGTGTAGCTCTGGAGGCATCCAGCACTACGAGGGGAGCCCAGGCCTCCTCAGCACTGCAGGGCCTCAGCAGCACACCACAACCTTAGGCCTTTATGTGGAACCACTGACCAGTTGGCTGAGTATCCATGGTGGGGCCCCCAGACCTCTTGAGCATCACTTGGGAGCACCCCCTCCCTAAATAATCAGGTTTTTAATGTTCAAAATATGGACATTTTAATTGTACTTTTTTTTTTCCTTTTTGGGTCAGGTCACACCCAGCTCAGGGCTTCCTGCTGGGTTATGAACTCAGGAATTACTCCTGGCAGTGCTCGAGGGACTATATGGGATGATGGGAATTGAACCTGGGTCGGCTGTGTGCAAGGCAAACACCCTACCCGCTGTGCTATTGTTCTATTCCCTAATTTTAATTTATTTTTTTCTTATTCTTCATTTTATTTTGTGAAAGCACTGTGACTTACAAAATTACTTATAGTTGGGTACATCAGTGAGAACGGGACCTATCAAAAATAATGGGAACAATCTGTGTGGCAGGGATGTGGTGAGAAACTCTCATCCACTGCTGGTGGGAATGTTGTCTGGTTCAGTCCCTCTGGAAAACAGTATAGAGGGCTCCTAGTAAACTTAAAATTGAGCTGTAATATGACCCAGAAATCCCACTTTGGAACATTTACCCCCAGGACAGAAAACATTCATTCAAAAGGTCATACGCATACCATTATTTATTGTAGCATTCAGTACTATAGTTAAGATTTGGTATCAACCCAGATGTCTGAAAACAGATCAGTGGCTCATGAAGAAGTGGTATATATACACACAATAGAATACTATGCAGTAGTAAGGAATGATGAAAACATGCAGTTTGCTGCAACATGGAATGAGAAGATATCATATTAAATGAAGTAAGCCAGAGGAAGACAGAGAAACATAGGATGGTATCACTTATATGTGGTCTTTAGAGTAACTGGATGAGGAAATGCAATTGTTTAAAGGGGCAGATGCCTACATCACCCTTCAGTCCCAAGGTATAGGGGGAAGGAATGAAGGGTGGGGAATGGGGAGAGAAGACACAGGTGAGAAGCAGCAGGGAGCAAGGACCAATGTACATGGTATTGTTACGGAATGCTAGAGTTATATATCTAAGTCACAGAGTCAACAACACTGAAATCATGAAACCAAAACTTAAGCTTTAAAAGGTGTTTATCAAGATGGTAGTCTGGGATGGGGATGGGGGTGGAAGTGGGAGAGGAAACCTGGAAACATGGTGGAGGGAAGGTGAACCTGGTGGTGGGATCAGTGATGGAACATTGTATGTCTAGAACCAAATAACTGGTTTCACATAATTTACTTAAGGGTCACAGCATCCAATCTTTCCTTCAGGCACTCATTCATCCACAAATATTCATGCAGTGCCCGAGCTCTGCTCGAGATTCACACCTAGGCAAATACTAGATCTCTAAATAAGAGGATATCTGGTTTTCTTTCTATTTATCTGGCCGGCCTATGAGGAGCCTCCAATACAAAATTACAAACTCTGAACAGATACTAATTTGTCTTGTCATTCAACTCACAGAGGATCTGGCTAGTCTACCCACTGCCTTGCTACTGCTGGCAAAATGCAGATGGAGACATCCACTCACTTGCATCCTCTGACTGTTAGTGTAAAATAATGAATATTCTATAACTAAAGATGAACAGTTTAAATTTTTTTAAATTAAAGCACTGTGAGATATAGTTTCAAAATTATTCATGATTGCGTTTCAGTCATATAATGTTCCAACACCCTCAGATCAAGATCCTACAGACTTTTAAGAAAATTTACCAGTTCCTTGGCTACTTAGAAGAATAAAGTTGGGGTTATTTCCCAGAATTAGGATGTTTATTAGAAATGGTCCTTTTATCAGACTGAGAATCTATATGATATAGCAAACATGAAATCACAGAGTATCTGATCTGTATCAGCTATGGCATCTCTCCTCACCATGCAGGTCCCCACTTCCCTGGCTTCCAGACCCAGTCCTACCCCATTTCTGAGCTTATAGCATAGCCTCATTTAGTTCCACTAGCTTTGGAATCCACAGAGATTCTCCATATGCAATTAAATATATAATTAAAAGCAGTCCTTTCCCTTATTGACATTAATTTGATTGCCCATTACCCCTGGAAGTACCCAAAGAGGAAAGGGTATGATTTTACCTATGCCAAGAAACCCTGTACAATATTTAACACACAATATGATATGGGGATGGAGCGATAGCAGTAACACAGCGGTAGCGCATTTGCCTTACCCGTGGCCGGCCCGGCCGACCCAGATTTGATTCCTCTGCCCCTTTCAGAAAGCCCGGCAAGCTACCGAGAGTATCTCACCTGCATGGCAAAAGCCTGGCAAGCTACCCATGACTTATTCAATATGCCAAACACAGTAACAACAAGTATCACAATGGAGACATTACTGGGCCCACTCATGCAAATCGATGAACAGTGGGAAGACAGTGCTACAGTGTTATAGATGATCTCAAAATCAAGACGGCAACCTTAGTATAAAATAAGTGTACAGTTTTTGATAATTTCATCATTTGCATTTTCTGTAACCACCAGCAAAATGACTATTTGGTACTGTTCCATCACCACCAAGCTCTCTCTCCGGCTCCTAATATCCGTAAGTGTTGCCTTCCTGCCAACATCCCAAATTCCTGGCAACCATGAAACTGTTCTCCATGTCTATCATTTTTACACAGATAATTTCTATTGCAGGACAGAAAAAAAAAAACCAGCCATGATTTTTTTAAATTTATTATTCACGGGCTGGAGCAATAGCACAGAGAGTAGGGATTTGCCTTGCATGCGGCTGACCCGACTGACCCGGGTTTGATTACTCCGCCCCTCTCAGAGAGCCTGGCAAGCTACTAAGAGTATCTTGCCTGCATGGCAAAGTCTGGCAAGCTACCCGTGATGTATTTGATATGCCAAACACAGTAACAAGACTCACAATGGAGACATTACTGGGCCCACTCGAGCAAATCAATGAACAACAGGAGGACAGTGCTGTATTTATTCACAGATCTGTGCAAATAAATAGCAATTACTCATTCATGCTTGCATTGAAAGAATACAGATGGCAAAGTTCATATTTGAAGAAAATAATCAATATTAACTTCTGTTTATCCCTAAATAAGGTAGCATTCATTGAGACTTTACAATGTGCTAGGAAAATTTTTGTTTGTTTGTTTTTCATTTGTGGGCCACACAAGAGGGTGCTCAGGGGTTACTCCCGGCTTTACATTCAGGAATTACCCTTACTGGTGCTTGGGGGACCATATGGGATGTCGGGTATCAAATTCAGGTGACCACATGCAAGATAAGCACCCTATCCCCTGTACTATTGCTCTAGTCCCATGCCAAGAAAAGTTTTCATTCATTTTATATACTTTAATGTAATTTTCCCAATATTCCTATGAATAATATTATTAATTTTATGTCACAGAAAAACAATAACCACCACAACAACCCTGAAGTCTTACTAGAGAAAAAGAAGTTATTCATTTGAAGTTTTACAGCTGGTAAAACTAGAATTCAAATCTTCACAGGCCCAACAGCCATACGTTTAACAACTGCATTACAAGTCTCTCCCTTATATGGAAGCATTTAATGGGGGCGAGGGGGACCTTTGCCTTTTGCAGTGAAGCAATCCCATCCTCATCATTAAGCAATGTGTCCATGGGCCAGGGAGTTGCTGAGTGTGTGCTCTGCATCCTACAGTCAGGCGTTTGCTCCCTGCCATGGTTCTGGAGCACTGCTGAGCACTGCCAGAGGAATCCCAGGCCTAGAATTGAGCTGTAACAGGCTGAGTCAAATATCACAAGTAGAGGATCCCAGTCCCCTGAGGAGATGTCCCTCTCTTCTCTGAGGAGTGGTCCTCGGCCCCTTGAACACTGCTTGGGAAGCCCCCAGAAGAAAACAAACAAAAATCACGTGTCCAACAGTGTCCTACTAAACAACTTTGCAGATCATCTAAAAATCCTAAATCCCTAGGCTTCCACTCTGGTCTCATTTACATTAGAAATCAAAATTTCAGAGTGAGTGAACCATTTTACCAGTAAACTTTAATTGTGAGAAAGGAATGATTTAGAAAATGGAGCATCTGTAGGGACATTTTAGTAGTAATTAGAAATCTGGGAGGAGAAGAAATTTGCAAAACAAGGCTTCTCTCTAAGACTCCAGAAGTTTTATATGATGAAACAGGGATTTCAGGTGACAACTGTCTTTACCCAGGGAAAAAAGTCTCATGCCTGCCTGCGAAGCATGTTTTGAAGAGATGGACAGTAAATCTGAGATGAGTTTTCCTTCCCTCTCCAGTTCTTACTCTCCAGGAGAGTTGTACAGATGCATGCAAACTAGAATTCTCCAAAAAAAAAAAAATTAATGAAAATTTAACTTGCTTTTCAAATCTATCAATGCCTATTATTGTAGGAATTTAAAATATGCTAATATTTCATTCACAATATCTCCTTTAAAGCATCTGCATTTGTTTCTAAAACAATGACAGATTGGGGGCCAGGGAGAGAGCTCAAATGGGTGAA